GCAGCCACCACCACAGTCATATCCTCCTAGTTCCGATTATCAAACGACGTCGTCGTAGGATGTTATTATTATATTACTATAGATATACACATCTATTATAGCTGTATTCGTTGTTAATATAATACTATAATATACATTTTTTATGATACGCCTATAACCGCACGTACGTATGCTACAAACAATATAATATGTATGATGATAACTCACATCGTCTATAAACAAGCGCCCACCCGAAAAACTTGTCCGGAAATATAATATAATAAAATACATAAAGTATTATAATACTGCGATAGCGCCACCTTGCATTCGTCAGGTGGGCGAGTCAAAATCAAACGCGCTTTATAATACTGCAGTTAATTTAGACATTTTGATTTTGTCTCGATATTGCTTAACGGACTGGTTAAACCGTGACGAGATTCGTGTGGACCTAAAACTCAGCCTACAATAATATGTGCGTYTCAATCTGAAATAAACATATCGTTTTTAAATTATGTAGATATATCTGTGGGATAATATTCCGGTAAAAAAATTAAGAAACCAAGAAAGCAAATTAATGACGGCCGTGATGCCAACTGCTGCATTAGTAACAATATYTGTAATATGATACATAATGTCTAACATTATATTATTATACTGTTACACAATTTATAATATTTGGTTTTGAATAGATATCTTTTATGGTGTAGATTATATGTATGTATTACATTCCCTGGTGAACCTACTCACTAGGAAATATGTTTTTTTACTCATAAGAAAAGAAGTCAAACGCGCGTACTGAGTGAACACACTTAAACCCGGAAATGTATATATAGAAATACACGATCACATACATWTTTTTTTATAATTTTTGTTGKGACGATAGCCAGGCGCACGATGGATAAAAATACTTTTATCTTGATATAAGCCTTTTAAATTCCTAATAGAATTTCTATACCAGCAATATACATGCAGGTCCGTTTATTCATATCATATTTAATAAAAGTTGTTCATTAAAGTCTCTCAGAAATTTATATAAACTTTTTTTATTATTATTATTCTCCACGAGATGCTATTTAAAATCTGTTCAAAGAAAAGAAYAATGAGCAAGTTTTATWATAGTAAAATATAACATGACAAGACAAGCGTATGACAAAAGAAGCCACCGAATGATGGCCCTACCTATTTTCAGTATTTATATGCTAAATTTCATGCATCAAGCGGGTCAAGATACAATATACCTAATATAAACTTATCAGTATAATATGCCGTACATTTTTGATAAACATTATGGATTAAAAATCACCATCTATAATTTTTACTTAGTTATTGAACAAGCTTATGAAAGGTAACAACTTTATTGCAGTTAAAAAAAAAGTTAACTCTAAAAGCTCAATACAGGTATAGGAAACACGAGGTGTTGATTTCAACTAAATGTTTGTATTAAACACACAAATTAAAAAAACAATGTACAATATTATACATTTAGTTCATACATCA